GCATGATGGCATAAATTACATGAAAAAAATGATCCATGTCTAAAAATGATGAAATCAGCTAGATATGTAGGCTTGATAAGTCGAATGTGCTGGATATCCATGTGACATGATAGGAACCAATTTGACTTCATGACTTAAGCTAAAACTTGAATTGGGTAATCTAAAAATCTAATAATAAAATAATGTGCCAATAGTGTGTGAGAAAAGTTGAATGTTCAAACAGTATGTGCTAATCTAGAACTTGCCCAGTTGGTCCTGCTAAGATGATCAAGATGAGCTAGGCTAGAAGTTAGGAAGTGATCATGGGCCTTTGTTCAAATTAGTCCACTTAAGCCTAAAATGATCTAACCAAATGAAATCAATTTTCACTTTGATCCAAATGTTTGAGCCTAAAATAGACCATTTCTTTTGATCCTCCTTGGACATGTGCACCTTTATTTAGGCCAAAAGCCTAAGTTGAGGGTGACTAATTCAAAAAGTTAACTTAATCTTGGCCCTGGTCTGACATCCGATATTGTGCACCTCAACTCATGCAAAATACATAAGCTGACCGTGGTTATCAAAAAGGAAATTGAAAGAAAAAATATATGGAAAGAGTTTTTTGTTGAAGAAAGAAACAGAAAAGAAAAAGGTGTGACTCTGTGCAAAAGAGGTAAAAAGATGACAAACAAAAGTGCTTAAAGAAATAAAGAAAAATAAAGTGAAAGAAAATGAATAAAGTGAAAAATAAGAGCTCAAAGTGAAAAGTTGCATCTTTGTTGAAAAAAGTCAACAGAAAGAATGTAAAATGAAAGGTTGTCAAAAATAGGTTGAGAAGAGAGGTAAAATGTCAATGTTATGTCAACGAGGGCAGAAAGTCACTAAAAAGTATCCAAATGTACCATACCTGAACCTTAGCCTACGTTACAAGCTACGAAAGTCCTATAGTGATCCTAGCAACTAGTATTGAGCACTAATTGTACTTGAAGTCACTTCTGAGCGTGAGTGTTGAACGAATCCTAAAAACATGAAAGTGATATCTCTTGTGAGTGAAAAAGGATTTCTTCTAAAGTGAGGGCATTAGTTACATTGTTGGAGAATTGATACCTTGGTGATTGTGAATGGTGTATGTTGTGGTGTTTGTTGGTCGATCTATGTCATATTTTCATCCATATGAGTTGGTTTGTTGAGTCTAAGAGAAAAGATTTGCACTGAGAAAATGGAATGGATGGAAATTGCCATATGATTGCTTGAGTTTGTATGTCTGCTTCTACACAAGTTCCGTTTAGAGTTTTAGTGTGCCGCTTGAGGACAAACAACGAGTTTAAGTTGAGGGTGTTGATATACTGTGAGTTTACGATATTTTTTTATACATTTCACTTAAGAGATGTGCGTCTCTAGGGCCATATTGTATTAGGAATTGATGTTTTTGTGTTATATTTGCAGGAAATATGCTTGGATATGGACGAGTAAGATGACAGCTAAAAATCTGCACAAGGAGCCACCCACGGAGGTCACCTACGAACGTAGGTCCAGCGATGGTTGGTCAATGGGCAATGTAGATGGAGATTCAGGGATGTCTGACCAAGTGTGGAACTACGGATGCAAGTGATGTATCGTATGTCGACCCGCGGGCCGTCCTGCACTTCTGTCGAATGTTTCAGAGCAGTTGAAGTTCTAATACCTGCTGAAAATCCTAAGTGTGGAGCCACTGAAGAGGACCCACGGACCGTAGGTCAACCTACGGTCCATTCTGCACGTCCGTCGTTTGTATATGAGAGTGGAGATTCCATCATCTGTGGAAAAGTTCTAACTATTGACCAACGAAGGAGACCTACGGACCGTAGGTCGACCCACGGTCCGTAGGTCAAGCTTGTCGATCGAAGCCGCGTGTAGAAAGTTAATTTCCTTATTTTGTTTAGGACATGTTCTTCTATAAATAGGGTATATACACCTGATTTTTGGAGGTAAGACATTATTGTTTACTTTTAGTTATTGATATTTTCTTGGTAATTAACTTGCATACTTTGGCAATTTGATTTTCGGATTTTGTTTTATAAGATTTTTTGCTTTGAAATTCAGTTCAAGATTTCGGGTTTCTTCTAATCTAAATGTAAGTTCAAGAATTCTTATTCGCAAAACATGAATTGTGTTCTTTCAAGCATGAGTAGCTAAATCCACAACTAGGGTTGTGGGAAGCATGAGCAATTAACAATGTATGAATAATAATTAAGTAATTGTTGAATAGTGTTTATGCATGTATTGGTAATTCTTTCGCTTACAAGTCTTTTTAATGAGTGCACGCATTAGAACTCGCCTTGTTGCTACTTGCCGGACCTAGGAGGTAGCTAATGATAAAAGAATTATCAATAGAGATTTAGTTTGATACTGTCTAATAGTGTAATGTCAACTGGTGCGAGGGTGAAAACTAAGTCATACATTGATGTGATGTCTAATATGAGGTAAAGGTATGGGTTAGTAAAATATACACACGTAGCAGGACCAAGGTGCGGGGTGAAATTCCCTATTTGGAGGACCAATCACATAGGGATACCTATCTTATCAACTTTGCATGTAAAACACTAGGAAATGATTACTATTATTAGGATTACCGCGTTAAAAGCTTATGGGAAATACATATACCCTAGTTTCTCTCTCTTATTGATAACTCGAAGTTTGAATCTTGCTCACTTGTTACTTAAACAATAATCAGTTATTTGTTTCACAAATCCCCCCACCCTTTAGTTTACTTGTCTCGGAAATAGTTTGACTAAACAGATATAATCGTGAGTTAAGTTTAAGTCTGAACCATATTCCTCATTGGATAGACTCCAACCTACAAGTTGGGTTGTTTATTTGACAACGATCTCTTATACTTCTTTAGGGAGGTGTAATTTGAGCGTGTCACATGCTCGAGTTCTAAACTTACTGTTGAAAAATGCGCAAAAAAGAAAGAAAAAAATTGGATCTGCCATTGCACAACCATCACTATCAAAGATACAAATTTTTAATGTATCACATTTATTTTAATTCTTAAATTAGACTTTGTTCGTGTTATTACTGATCTAATACATCACTGCAACAATAGCCTTTGTCTTATACAATATATCATGTTCATATTTACGATATTGACACATAACTCTAATGTTATTGAATCTTCGATTAGTGTTTATCATGTTCAATTTAAATGAACTTGATTCATAACCTTTGTGTTATGTATCACACACACAAAATGCTTTTTGAAACTATTACATGTATAATGTATTTTTTAAATAAAATATAGTATTTCTCAAACAAAATAAGATACGTAAATAATAATGTATCACACACTAAATTTTTAGGCATGATACATAGATTCAAATTTATACTAAATGTATCTGATACGTAGCAATTTACCAAATAGTAATGTATGGATTTCAAACCTAACATCTTATGGACAATAACTTCTTATTTAATGTATCTAGTAGAAACACAACGCTTATCAATTTTAAAAAGATACATAAATAGTGATGTATTGATAAATCTAGCCATCTCAAAAACACAATTTAAAAAATGATTACACAACATTATAAAAGGGATAGACGATCCATCAAAGTTATGTATCTCTTCATCCTTTTTGTCTATTGTATTAATGCGTAGTAGATATATTGAAAATTCAGGCTCTTGTTTCTTCACCTCATGATGTATCGGATCTCCAATGTATCTCAAAATTTTCATTCAAAAATTGTGAGTTTTTTTAAAAGAATGGGAAGAAAAATGTTGTTGATAATTGAGAGATTTTTGGATGAATGGGAAGAAGAATGTTGTATTAATCTGTAATGTATCTCCGATTTTTGTCGACAATTTTGATTCAAAATGTAAGATTTTTTTGGATGAATGGGAAGAAGAATCTTGAATTTTCAATTGTACTAGCCCATTCAATTTGCAAATTAAAGAATTCAATCTCATTGTCAATAACACTTCCCCATGATTTCCTTCTAATAATCCGACAAACCCTTTTGTCTTCCACTTTAAGACATTTACAAGATTGGAGGTATTGGAACAATACTTGCTATTTGTGTTGAGACTGGAATGATCGATCATGCTATGGTTGTGACTTTTGACCCTACTAGTTTTACAACTGAAGTCAAGTCTGTCGAGATGCACCACAAAGCTCTCCACGAGGCACTCGGTGGTGACAATGTTTGGGTCAATAATAAGATGCTGTTGTGAAGGATCTTAAGCGTGGTTTTGTTTACTTTCGTCATCTCATCAATCTCCTGCAATGATAGATTTGAGACTCACAAAAGAAATTGTTTGTCCAAAGAACTATTCATTATCTATTCTTATCAAATTTTGACAAATACAAATTTAGATTGAATGGTTCCTCGATGAACATGAAAACAATGAATAGGAAGAAGAAATTTGATTTTTTAATTTGTTGGTTCTTTTAGGATTTGCATCTGATTGATTGACTGTAAGAAGAAATGTGTAGGCGTAATTTATGGAATTTTAATTGATTTTTTATTTTTTTTTCTCTTTCAGTGTAACAATTTGATAGATAATGTATCAACATAAATGTATCTGGATAATCAGTTATGTATTTGGATTGTGTAAAATTAAGGAATTATTGTAATAAGGAAAAAAATAGGAATATGATGTAATCTATTCCTCACACTATAGGATTTATGTAAGTTATACTCCCTCTGTCCCAATTTATGTGACACATTTCGCTTTTCGAGAGTCAAACAATTTAAGTTTGACCGAAAATTTGCTCATAGAATCTTCAATTTTTTAAAAATAAAATTTATATATTTGTAAACTACATTAAAAGTACTATATGTCCCAATAATTGATAATTCAAAATATTTAAAAGATATATGAAAAAATTACGATCAAAGATAAATTTGGTTGAATCTCGAAATCTGAAATGTCTCACATAAATTGGAATAGAGGGAGTACTTTTTTTAATCCATAGATGAAGATACAACTACTATATATAGCCGCAAAGGGAAGGAAAGGAAAAGGTGTAGTTCGAACCACAAGATGATTAAATCACAACTCACTTCTGTTCTCTTTATGTTTCTTTTTGCTCTTTCTCCTATTTATGGGGATTTCGAGTTATTGGAACTCGTTTCAACGTGGCCAGCAACTTTTTGCTACGCGTATGGTTGCAAACGACCAATTCCAAATAATTTTACGATTCACGGGCTTTGGCCGGATAACAAGTCCACAGTACTGAATTTCTGCAATTTAGTCCATGAAGATGAGTACATTCCGATCACGGTAAATTTAAACATTATTTTCTCATGTACTTGCAATTCTTTCTTTTTTCATTCTATTTCCTTCTATTTTGTTCAAGTATTTATTTAATGAAGCTTCTTAAAACTTCTTTATAGGATCACAAGATATTAACTAAGCTGGACAAACGCTGGCCTCAACTCAGATACGATTATTTGTATGGCATACGTAAACAATATCTCTGGAAAAATGAATTCGTAAAACATGGAAGTTGTAGTATAAATCGCTACAAACAAGCAGCATACTTTGATTTAGCCATGAAGATAAAAGACAAGTTTGATTTATTGGGAACTCTTAGAAATCATGGAATTAATCCTGGTTCAACTTATGAACTTGATGATATCGAACGTGCTATAATGACAGTTTCTATAGAGGTTCCTAGCCTCAAGTGCATACAAAAGCCACTTGGAAATGTGGAACTTAATGAGATTGGTATATGTCTAGACCCAGAAGCGAAATATATGGTTCCCTGTCCACGAACTGGGTCATGCCATAATATGGGACATAAAATAAAGTTCCGATGATGAATAAACTCTTTAATTCACTTTCTTATTTTGTTATGATAAGTAAATTTAAATGCAAAGTCTCCAGGCGAGAAGCCAAACGTTCCTCTGGCAGGTCACAATGTTTAATATTATGAGTAAATTTCATGTCAATGCTCGAATAGCATTACTCAACTAAATGAGATTTGAATATGTTTAGATCTAACATCAGTATTTGAAATATGTTTAGATCAAATGTCAGTATTTTTGTATAGACATGTAATATTTGACCAAAACTAAAATTTTACATCATTTTTAGTGCTTCAATATTTTTTAAAAATCTGAATTAAATAATTTAATTTTTTTATCTTTTTTATTAAATTTATTTTAAAAGATTTGAAACAATAAAAATTAAATCACATTTTAAGATAAGTTTTGTTTTCACTTTTTTTTTTAATAAAGAAAAGAAATTTACAAAATCAAAAATATATTTTGTTTTAATCTAGATTTTAATAAATAAACTAATGATTTTAGTATATCTATTAATTATATTTTAGTTTGAAAAGAATTAGTTAATATATATATATATATATATATATATATATATTAAAATCTTCCAAGAACTAAACGAAAACAGTAAAATAAAAAATAAATGAATAGACAAAGAAAATCACTACCCATTACTCTCACCCCACTCTACTCAATACACACCATCTGCACCAACTACTACAACACATTTCCTACCCACTAGCAACACGCACACCCACCAAAAAATATCTGCAAAAGAACACCTCTGTACTATAAATTACGACAACAACATACAAACCATTAGCAATAGACATTCACCCAAAATCCCACTTACCTTACTCACGCCCCAATAAAAAAAAATACATTCACATTTTTACTTTTCCTTCAAAAATTCACCAACACATTCATATTTTTTTCTTCCTTTCTCATTACTACTTTCATATAAACACAATACATATATTACCACATACAATCTACAAAAGCTTTGTGGGCGTTCTAATCGATCTTTGGTCAAGATATTGCGGTACTCAACTTTACCATGTCTCTTTAATTTATTTGTGGAATTTGATGTAATTATATTATAAGTTTTCTTGCACTTTTATTTTATTCATAATTTGATTGAAATGAAGAATAGGCTAAGTGTTATATCTCTGTTTATTGAATGAAAGTAATTTTATTTGTGGATTATTTTTTATTTAATTACTTTTACTTATAAGTTATGATAATTTAAAAATAAACGGGTCATGACATTGTTCTTGTCTTGATTTAGATTCCAATAATGATAAAGTAGGAATTATTGGGCTCAAAATATTATTGTGTTTTTTTTTATTTTATCAAACAAAGAATAAGGTTTATTTTAGCAATTCGTAATTGTTTTGTTGGAATAGTGAATAGTAAGAAATTACAATATGTGTATGCTTCATTTTGACATCAACTTTAAGATTAATAAAAATAGAAAGATATAAAATGATCCAAATTTTATATTGTATCCTAGAAGCTTAGATATATTTTATATTATTTGTTTTTCTTTATAAAGAACACATATTTTATTTTAATACTAGGTGAGTTTTAGGCAAATTAAAAATATTTGTTTCAATTAAGAATGTGGTTACATGTCTTTTTTGAGATATTAAAAAATAAACATAAAGATGTGGTGACGCATCTTGTCCAATAATACAATTAACTTTCATTAATTTAAAGTAGAGACTTATAGACAAAATTATTAAGTGCTATGCAAAGAAGACAATTATGCCTCTAAATGTCAAGACCAAGAATGCAGTTATGCATCGAGATCAATAAAAATTCAATGATAAAAAATGTGAGACAATCATGACCTTCAACACAATTTATCCAAAATTAATTTAAGAGAGTATAGGTTGATAAAAGGCGTCTAGCTAGAACCACATGACTCGAGATATACCTAATACCTTCTCCTCGATCAACATAATCCTTACCCAAATACCTAGATCATAGACCATAATAAAGAGTCATTTTCTTTTGATTAGGGAATAAAATGAAAAGGTGACTTGGAACACCATAACTCACTTCTAAGTGGCGACTCTGAAGAATAAAATAATCTCTATTCAAAATTGTCATTAAATTGGAGAAGCCCTTTCTGCACTCCAAAAAGGGATGTGACATCTCTGGCGACTCTGCTGATGAATTCCAATAATTCGAGTTTTGTTATATTAACTTTTACATGATTTTATTATTATTTTTTGGATATATTGTGTATAATTGCCTGATGTGCTACTTGCTACTGATTTATTGCTTTGATATTGTTGAATTGTATTATAAATTGTCTTTTCTACCAGATCTCATCTAAGTCTTTGAAAGGGGAGGAGGAGTTCCAACACATGGTATTCCCCAGTTTTTGAGAGCCTTTACATATTTTTTACATTGTTGAACATTCTTGAAGAATATTTGGATTTCGGATTTGAGGATATAGGATTCTAGCTTTAATTTTAGTAATGACTATTGCATATTTTTGACAATTTGGATTGATAATCTTTTTGGTAAGGAATCCTTTCTTCTGGTTGTGGTGGGCTAAAATCCCTCCCCTTAGGTTTATGATCATGTAACCGAATACATAAATTACCTTGTGGGTACTGTTAATTGCTGGATTTAATGTTGTTTTGAAATGAGTTCAATTGTTTATTTGTGATTTAATTGATTAACTAAAGTTATAAATTCGATTCTAGTTTAGCCCTTCACGCTTTCTTGAGAAAGAGGTATATAGTAGAATGAATGATTGATAGTTGTATTGATTTGCATCTTTACAACCCAACTTGATAAAGTGGGTTAAATAAAGGAATTGGGTTGTTTTGTATGGTTAAGCTTGTTGAGGTTCGAGAGAACTCACTCGAAACATGATAGTTGATCGAGAGATGACTATTATATTCAAAACATATCCTACCCACTGATATTCAACAACTGAAAGAAATTAATAATTACCCATTAAGAGAAATTAATTCAATTGCTCACATTCCTAAGATCCTCTCTTTAATAGTTCAAATCCCGTGTTTATTACATTTCGTCATCAATTGGTTACTGAATCCCCCTTTCATGATATTGATCATTGAAACATCGTGACTTATTTTATGTTTCGTACCCTTTTACTTCTAAAAAAGCTTAGAACATGTCATTACTTCGTAATTTAATTCTTTACCGTATCAATCCCTCTGAGATCGACCCCAACTCATCATTGTGTTTACACTTGTTAGCGACCGCCTATACTTTGAATCAGAAGAAGTGTAGATGAGCGCATATGGAAACATGAGAAAGACTAAAACTTATGAATTTGAAAAAATGAACCATGATGCGTTAATACCTCAAGGTAGAGTAGGAGTAGAGTGAAGAGATGAGGATACTGGGACATCATATTTGCTTTGGCCTCCCAAGTAGCACCCTCAACTAATTGATTCCTTCATAAAACATTCACAGAAGCAACTTCTTTGTTTCTCAACTTCCAGACTTGCCGACCCAAAATTTCAACTAGAACCTCTTCATAAGAATGATTGTCTTTAACTTCTAAACCTTCCATAAGAAAATAGATTTCGGATCTCCTAGAAACTTCTTCAATAAAGAGGAATGAAATACCAGATGTACCGATGTTAAATCATTAGGCAACTCAAGTTCATAAGCAACCATGCCAATATACCTCAAAATCTGATATGGACCTACATACCTAGGAATAAACTTCCCTTTATTTCAAAACCTCATGACAACCTTTATGAGTGAAACTTTACAAGTAGACCGATACATGCACATCAAACTCTAGTTCTCATCTTCTAATATTGGAATTAAGACTTTTGTCGACTTTGAGCCATTTTCAACCTCTCACGAATAAGCAGAACCTTTTCCGTGACATCATCTAACGTGGGCCCTATTAAAGTAACCTCACCCATTTCAATCCAATCAATAAGATACTTACACCTCCTACCATAAAGAACCTTACACAGTGTCATCCCAATGCTAGAATGATATCTATTATTATAAGCAAAATCAATCAAAAGCAAGTGATCATCCTAATTTCCTTTCAAGTTAATTACACAAGTTGTCGATATATTTTTCAAAGGCTAAATTGTGCACTCGACTTGTCAATTGAACTGAGGATTAAAATTTGTGTTGAGTTTAACTTGAGTATCAGGACCTTTCTGAAACGACATCCAAAATTGATATATAAATTAAGTATCTTGATTGGAGATAAACTCCATGCAACCTTACAATTATTCTAATTTAAAGCTTGGCATAATCCTCATATGAGAATTAAGTCTTAACGGGAAGAAAGCGAGACGATTTCATCATTCGGTCGACAATAACCCAAATTGAATCAAACTCTCGATGAGTGCGAGGTAAACTTGCAATAAAGTCCATATTCAAATCTTCTCACATTCATGTAGGAATACTAATATCTTGAGCCAAACCACCCGATTTATTACACTCAACTTTAATTTGTTGATAATTTTGATATTGAGCCACAAACTCTACAATATCCTTACTCATACCATTCTACCAACAGACATCCCGCAAATCACGGTACATCTGGGTGCCTCTCGGGTGAATAGAATACCGGGAACTATGTCCTTCTATCAGAATCTGAGTCCTCTTGGAACAAATAACTGACCTTGATATCTATAACGACCCAAAAATTAATAGGTGAACTAGAGCCTTAATGTGAGGGTTAACGTCAAGGGTTAAGGGCAAGAGATAAGGGTTTTGGGTGAAGGCAATGGGTAGGGGACCAAGACTGCGTAAAACTAGGCTTAGCCACTACCTACCCTGACCACGAGGGTCATCACGACCCGTAGTGGCCACTACGAGTAGTGGTTCCACCCGTGGTGGGCAAGGCAGTGTGCCCTAGAATGGTGCCAAGTCAAGGCTCCCCTTCACGAGCCACTTCATAGCTCGTGGTCATGACCACGGGCCATGGGAAGGCTCGTCGGGTTGACTTGGCCATAGGGGAGAGGTGTTATGTTGAAGGATCTACTTTTCAAGAGACCACGGGCGCAACTACGTGACATGGAGCCCTTGACGAGGTGTGAAAGTGGTAGTGAAGATCACTTAGGCACAAGGGAGGCAAGGCACTGCCTCAAGACCACGACTCGTGGTCTTGACCACAGATCGTGGGAGGTCTCATGGTCATGCCTTGACCTCATAAAAAGCATGGCAAGGTGAGGAGGCTACTGCCCAAGGGAC